TCAGCCACTTGGCTATATTCTGTGATGAACTAAGTGTTTTATCGTAGGCGTCAAACCCGTTTCCCTCCTGAGTGTATACTTCGGCCCTCTCCTTGTCATTTGTGACTTACTTCCCTCTTTCATCCTTTATTGGGCCTATCGGCTCCTTTCTCACCTTTTTACTGTTTATATATTGGTAATTCTCCCACCTCTGTCCCTCCTGAACAGGTTATACCCCTCTATATTGGTGGCCCAATCATGTGCGCGGTCTAGCCAGTAGACATGTGCACTGCCAAAAAATTCGTTTAGTTTCGTTTCGTTTTAAATTCGGATTTGTGGTATTTCATTTTTCAGGATTCGGGTGTGAAAGTCAATTCGGAATTCGGATTCGGATGAAATTCGGTAGCGTTAGTACGAACGTTTGTTTCGTTTTCTGTTCGTATTCGTTTCTTATTCGTTTCGGTCGTTCGTTTGCACAAAAGTGACATTTGAGGGGGAAAAAATATTTTTCTCCTTCTCTAATGTCACTTTGCTCCAACGAACGAAACGAATAAGAAACGAATAAGAACAGAAAACGAAACGAACGTTCGTACTAACGCTACTGAATTTCGGAAATGGAAATTCGGATTCGTTTGCATTCGTTAGGTCTGTAATTCGGAATTCGGATAAATCTGGATCAACTCTCCTGTCCATTCACTTCCTCTGAAATTGATTCCGTCATAGACTCTCTTCCACTTCATAAGTCCCCTGGAGCTGATGGATTTCCGAATGAGTACTATAAATGCTCCAAACCCATTCTCACACCCCATCTTACTACTGTTTTTAGAAAGGCAATGACTATGGGGTCCTTTCCCACCAAAATGCTACAAAGTATAACAGTCACTATACCTAAACCACAAAAAGATCCATCCCTTTCCAGCAACCACAGACCCATATTGCTATTAAACTCTGTTATGAAAATGTATGCAAAGGCAATCTCCATGAGATTACTTCGCATTCTCCCCTTTTGGTACATCCTGATCACATTGGGTTTGTTCATGACAGGTAGGCGCCATATGGTTTAAAAAAACCTAAAAAGTAAAAAAAAAGTTAAAGTGAAATAAAGAACAATTAAAAATGCAAACAAGTTTAAAAAAATAAAGTTTATAAAATAAAATTAAAAATAGAAAAAAACTTTTTTGGTGTGTCATTTTAAATAATTAAAAAAAAAATGATATATTCTACTGAACAACGTGAACAGACGGCAAAACAAACGTGACCCTTCTCTATGCTATCCAAAACTAAAAAATGTTTTTTGGCTGGAGTTGCACTCAAAAAATTTACCTGTTCCGACTTGCATACAAATTCAACTTAAGTACAAACCTACAGTCCCTATCTTGTATGTAACCCGGGGACTGCCTGTATACACACACACACACATATAATATATATATACAAACACACACATATAATATATATAATATAGTTAGGGCTGTTACTGATTAAAATGTTCATGTTCGATTAATCCAAATTTTTTTTAATCGATTAATTATAACGCATGTACAGATCCAACTACATTGGCCCATACACATACAGCACAGCAATGAAGTAATACAATCAACTAGGATCACATTAATCTCACGTGCCCCACTCAATATGGCCGCCGCTTGAGGGGGGCCAACTCAGAATAATAACGTGCTGGATTAGTGTGATCCTAGTTCATTTTATTACTTCATTGCTGTGCTGTATGTGTATAGGCCAATGCCTTGGCTGGCGCTCGTGCAGAGCGCCAGCACTTCCCGTTTCGTTACAACTAAGAGGTTGGGCAAACCTCTTAGTTGTAACGAAACCGGAAGTCAGGCGCAGAACTCGATAAGTGTTGACAGATCACCGGCCAAGTGGCTCTCAGCCAGGAGGGACAAGAGGTTCCAGGAGGCAAGTTCTTGCACTGGGAAAGAGCTGACTTTGCAGCTCTTCCCAGGATTTCTGGATTTGGCATGGGATCCTGAACTGGGAGATTTCTAAGAGAATTGGGAGGGATGAAATCTCCATTCCTGGGTCCATTGTTTAATAGTGGCCAGCACCTAATTGCACACCTGTGCACAGCACTTATGGGAAGGGTGCTGGCTAAGGTTCTGGGCTCCAGCTGGGAAGAGGAACAGGGATGTTCAGGAGCCAGGAGGACTCCTCCCAGAAGGCAAAGGGGAGCTAAGTGGCTGTGTGGGCTAGAGGCACAGGAAGACAGCCGAGGAGGTTTAGAGAGCCGCTTACACATGAAGTATGTGTGACAACCTGGAGTCGGTGAGACTATGTGTTCTGTTGGCTGGAATACAAGCGGACCGTGTATTATTGTTTGAAGTTATGTTTCTGCTCTGGAAGCAATAAAATACTGTTTTTTTTTTTTATGCTAGTTTGGTGTATTATATGTACAGGGGTAGTATTTTTTTTATGTGTATGGGATGTGTGTATTTTTATTTGTGCAAGGGTAGTATTTTTTTATGTGGGGGTGCGAAGAGTGTGGAGTGTATTAGGCTCCATTCACACCTGTACTTTTAGGTGCATTTAGGGATTCCTGCGTCAGGAATTTGCGTCTTCCTGCAGCAGAAATGCCTAATCTGGCGTTTACAAATGGCAGCTGTCCGTTCAAGTTAATGATCAAGTGACAGCAGCTGCATGTAAACGCTTGCACACCGCATGTAATGGTATGTGATATGATTACATGCAGTTAGAAAACACTCTCCCTGGATTCACAATCGATGCGTCTGGGGATAGATGATTTGATTCCTAATCTTGTGTAATCATATTACATATCATTACATGCGGTGTGCAGGTGTTTACATGCACCAGCTGTCACTCGATCATTAACATGAACGGGTGACAGCTTGCGCTTTTAAACACCCGATTAGAGCATTCCTGCTGCAGGAAAACGCACGTTTCTGACGCAGGAATCCCTAATCGCACCTAAACCTACAGATATGAATGGGGCCTTATTGTTTGTGTATATTAGTGCCCGTAGCACCATACCTGATCTAGTTACATTTTAAAGTATGAAATTTGGCGAGCGGCCTCCATGGGAGAAAAACATTTGTTGAGTAGCCCCCGAGTGAATTGAGTTTGAGACCCCTGTCCTATATAAATCATAGATAAGCCATTTTTCCTAGTTTCGACAAAATGTGGAGTAACAAACCCTACTGTGCATTGTGACTTATCTTTGGTTATAATTCATACTGCCTCTTTACTTGATGCATAAAACTGCAGCCACTGTAATTGTTTAAAACTGACAAAAAAAAATTCAATGCCATATGGCGACCTGGAGGCCTTCTATACATAGTTGGTGTAGAGAAAGTCCCCAGAAATGTAATTTGCTCTAGTTATTGGCTGGCTGATTTTGACACGTGTGCACTAATATACAAATAATTCTGTAGGCATCCCCTGCAATAGGAATTTTATTTTTTGTGAGATACTCCCTGAGGCGTAATTACTTATAAAAGGATGTAGACACTGCAACTTTCCTCATTAGAACATAAAACTCCACCAGCTGATTATAATGAACCCAGACACTCCTAATAAGGAATGAGTTTGGAAAGGACATGATAAATCAAACAGCTATTTCTTCAGATCAGAAACCAGTAGGAATCTGCAGCACAGTTTGTACAATGTACATTGATCACCCGGGGGGGTTTGTTTTTTTTCCTAAATAAAAGTGGACTCGTCCTTTTGAAACCTCTTTTTTAAAGATTTTTCACCACCCAATAAGTCATCCTGTTTTTACAAACCTTTAAGCTAGCCATACATCTTAAGATTTATCTTGTTCAGCCCTACGACTTAACAAAATTACATTTTAGGGAGCCAGCTGGTGCCAGCATGGCTATCCAAAGATTGAATATTGGCCAATTCATCAGGAATTGCATGTATGGCCAGTATTCTGACTCCGATTGTTGTGATAGCGATATATCACTTGTTGAGACCTCTAAGCCTGGCCTGTATAAGCAGATACAATCACTGCGGACAATCCTTGTCAGATAGCTGAACTCACCAATACCGTGTTCGTCCACAAAGGTTGCTTTATTCTGAACGTGAAGACAACAGGATAACAGCAGATGGATGGTTACAGTATTATGCGGTCAAAAGATGATGCCTTTCCTACGGTACTATGCAGAGTACATGTGTCCTTATTACATGTGGCTGTTAGCTGTGGCCATGACACAGGAAATACTGACCTCAGGAAGAAGGGTGGGCTTACATAAAGAGGAACTGTGTCATCGACCTCAGGGATATCAGGGAAAAAACAGGTGCAATATCACGAAAGGCCACTAGATGGCAACATAGGAACTAAATATAGAATGACTATAGAAAATGGTATAGAGAAACACACTATATAAATTCTCATCTACTAACAATGCTAATAACATATTCTATGCCCCATTGGGGCGGCACAGCCAGCTTTACTCATTCTACATTCTAACTTACTGATGATACCTCACCCAACAGAGTAGGTGAAATTCAAGCTTTTTATATCAAATATCCTTTCCTTTCTATTCTCCAACAAATATTTATTAGTCCATTTACATCAGCTCTAGTATTCACTGAAATGATTCTCCCTACTTTATATAGTCATTCAAATAATCAGAAATCAAAAGTATTCCTTTACCTTCTAGAATAGTTGAAGGCTCTTCCCTGGCATGATATGAATTTCCTATGTGTTTTCCTTGTGGAAAAAGGTTTCCAAGGCACCCGAATCTACCATGTTTCAGTGTGTCTGTTGCTGATCCCTTTCTTTTTTCTTATCTGCCTCTGAGATATTCTTGACAAAAACATTCTAATATCTATTATTTCTACTTAAGTTTATCTTTAAATTTATTTTTTTCGAGCCACTTTTTTAGTTGCAGCAAAAACGTACAATACATGTTATGTGAAGCATACTTTTTTGGAGTAATTTTTTCTTGCATAGTAATTGTGAATGATAATATTGTGAGGTTAAATCACCAATTACTGTCCCTCAGGAAATTATGCCTTTTTACTGTTGCATCTTTTGTTTTTAGCCAGTACTAGAGGTGTTTATGAAAAGAAGCTGCAGCAGTTGTTGGAAATGAAAGTCCAAGAAAATGGAGATGCTCATGAGGATCAATATTCAGACAGTGACGATGAAGGTTAGTGTAGGCTGCTAAAAAAAACAGCCATTTCTTTGTTTGCAAACTTAGACCTGGTTGTAGGCATGTAGTCTATTTTTTTCTCCTAGTTCTGTAAAAATACAGATGGCGACAGGGAGAGAGACACAAAGAAAATGGATGTCACAGACCGAGACATGGGGCCTTTCTTTTTTAGTCTTTGATACTGTTAGTATGCTGTGCCATTGTTCCCAAGCCGTTTTCACATCATATTACCAAGATAAAAATATAAAGTGTCTATTGAAATAACTGTACTCTGCTCTTTCTATATATGCAAGCTTCAGGAGGAGGTGCTCTTTCTATATATGCAAGCTTCACAGGGAGGAGCTTTTCTTGTTTCCCATAGAAACCAATAAGTCTTCCTTTTTTATGTCTATTCCACCAAGGGTAATTAAAAGGGGAAAGCTAATTGGTTTCTGTATGAAGAAAAAGATAGCAATACCACAGTGGAATGATGATATAATGAAGAAAGGGGAGAGACACTTCAGAAGTTGAAGATCTCAAATGCAGGCTGGGACAAATGCAGATAAGGAGCATACAGTGCAAGCAGACACAAACAACACAAATCTTCTCTGCTGCAATTATATAACCCTCGCAGGTCTTCTTCCCCCAGCCTGTGACTAGACAGTAAAAGGACAAGCAACAGACTGATGAGCTTGTCTGTCTGCCACTCTGCTCTCTCTTCCTATCAACATGTTTCTTAGTCTATGAGCATTGCAGCACAGCTAGCTCCTTGTACTGCTTTTAAATAGTTACATAGTTAGTCAGGTTGAAAAAAAGACGCATGTCCATTGAGTTCAACCTATAGAGATATGGAAAAGAAAAGAAAGCCTAAACAGAACGCTATGCCCACAATTACCCACTGTTGATCCAGAGGAAGGCAAAAAAAAAACTAAAAAGCATGGTTGTATTTGCTCCAACGGGGGAAAAAATCCTTTCTGATCCCATAAGGCAATCGGATATTCCCCGGATCAACAATCTCTAATGCTTTAATATACCTATAAGAACTCCATATCCAGTTATATTCTGTGCATCTAGGAATACATCTAGATTTTTTTTTATATATATAAATCCTTTATGGGTATTTAAATATTATAGAAATACAAACAATACAGATAATAGTCGTACAGATCATACACAAGGCATTTCAGGAAAGTTCCCAAAGATTAGTCGGAGAACATGGGATAAGCACTGCCTTATGCTTTTTGCCTTATTACACCATGTATTTATCTGTGAGCACTAGGCACATAGCATATCTATACTTAGAATCGGGAGTGGTGAAAGGAGGTGGAGAGAGGAGGAGGAGGAGGAGGAGGAAGAGAGAAAGGAGAAGAGGGAGGGGGGATCGCATACAAGTCTCATCGAGCTCTCAGAGGTTCCTGTTGTTTCCTGTTGTTTCCTGTACGTGGCCCGGCCATAGGCCTGGCTAACCCCTCATCCATATGAGATCGTTGGATGGAAGTGACACACCTCTGCTACCTTACCGCAGAAATCTCTGAGCATAGGGCACGACCAGAATATATGTAGCAGCGATCCTTCCTGTGTCTGACATCGCCAACAGAGTGGTGAGCACAGTGGGAACATTTTATGCAAGGTTTTAGGGACTCCATACCATCTGGATAGGATTTTAAACCCAGTTTCCTGGATATTGCTGGAGATAGATGCTTTGTGTCATCTGGAAGATCCTATCAACTGGGGGTGGAGTGAAAGTGGTTTCTAGATCTTTCTCCCATTTTGAGATATATACCGGCAGGGAGAGACCCGGTGAGCCGCAGAGCAGACGGTACGATACTGACAGGCCATGGCGGGTAGGGCCTTCCATCATACAGCATTCTTCGAAGGGGGTCAGCGGAGGCATAGCCTGTGGGTAACCCACCGCATGAGTGAGGAAATGGCGTATCTGGAGTGCCTTCCAGAAAGTCATGGGGGTGGTGGTGCACTTTTGAATTTCTCGAATGGGTAGGAGTACTGTACCTGCACGAAAATGGAATACCCTAAAGCTGCCTGACCGTATTAAACGGTTGAACTCTTTGTCATGTGGTGAAATGGGTAGGTCTGGGTGACCTAGTACTGAGGTCAGCAGGGATGGATAGCTATCCGATTTACAACCGTTCCTGTCTGTTTTGCAAATGGCCAGAGTGGGGCCAATAAGTGGGTGAGCTCGGAGGTGGCTCGTGTGTTTCTTTTCTAGCCAGGGCAGTCCCCCCAGGGGAACCAGGGAGCATGCCTGTTCCATGGGAATCCATCTCTTTTCAGACCCCCCTTGGCACCAGTCTAGCACCCTGGTCAAATGTACCGCCTTTTGATAGTTTAGGGGATCCGGGAACCCTATGCCCCTATGTGTTAGCGTCTGATGGAAACTCTATGTGTAGGTCGAGACATCAGTAGTTGGCTCACACGGTGGCCCCTATGTGCCCACAGGAATTTGCCAAATTCCCCTTTTACCTTCTTCAGAAAGCAGGTCGGGACATGTACCGGCAGTGTCTGGAGGAGGTAGAGTAGGCGGGGTAAAATGTTCATTTTGAGGATGCTATTCCGACCAAACCAGGTAAATGTGTTCTTCGTCCAAAGCTGTAGGTCTAGCTTTACTTTAGTAAGGAATGGTGGAAAGTTGGCCGAAAAGATCCCCCCAAGGGATCTACCGGACAAGATGTCCGGTAGATCCCCAGGTATTTAATACTATGGGCCGCCCATGTGAATGGAAAGGAAGAAGAAAAGGAATCTACAATGGCATTGGGGACGTTAAGGTTCAAGGCCTCTGATTTCTGCAAATTAACCAGATTTTTTTTTTTTTTAAAGATTAACTGAGCTAGCTAGAACTAGCTCCTGGGGGAGTTTATTCCACATTTCCACAGCTCTTACTGTGAAGAATCCTTTCCTTATGCAAAGGTTAAACCTCTTTTCCTCCCAGATCTTTCTCCATCATTGACTCCCCCAAACATACTCCCCCTAGAGCAGGGGTGCTCACTAGGTCGATCGCGATCTACCAATCGATCGCAAAGCTATTTCTGGTAGATCGCGATTGCTAGTCCAATTTGGCTGCTCTGTTTATCTGGGCACTCAGCTGCTGCTGGCCGGGTGCAGTTCTCCAACTTGGCCGGTAGGTGGTGCTCTGTCCTGGCCGAGCGCTTGCCACTGAAAGCCGTGCTGCACAGAGTTCAGAATTCAGCTGCTCCACTCTGGGGAAGCCTGAGAACAGGGCCCCTGGGCCACACACATCAGACATAGAGACATAGTCCAGGGCCGGGTAAGTGGTGTTCTTTATCAGAGGGAGGGGGCATTGTGTACCACAGGCTATGTACTGTGTGTGTGTGTGTGTGTGTGTGTGTGTGGGGTGTGTGTGTGTGTATACATATATGTTGGAGGCTAATGACATTAGCCGAATTTGTGGGAGGAGTCCGAGTGCCGAGGGGTACTTCAGGACGACGGGGAGGACGAACTGCAACAGGTATTGGCAGTGTGAGCGAGGACGCGGGTATTGGACGTCACTTCCGGTCCCGATCACTGACGGTTTTTCATCTCTCGCCGGTACAGCGTGGATTCGGGCCGCTCGATCAGCGGTCAGGCGGGCGGGAAAAGCCGCTTCATCTGATCGAAGGTATGTTTAAAGTTATTTGGGGCACGCTTGCCACATTTTGCAAACCTTCACTTGCATTTCAGGTCAAACCCCCCAAAAAAAACGCAGTAGCAGCAAGTTTGGTTCTGGCGCAGGCTGTCGTAATTACCATGCATTGACAAAACGCATTTTGCTAAAGTTTGGTTCACGCCGCTGGACTTCGGCACACTCACTCTCGTTAACACATGCAGGCTCAACGCATCGCAGCAGGTTGGGTTCAGGCCGCTGGACCTTGGTTCTAGTGCTGGGCAGCGGGTTGTCCAATCGTGATTACGCAGGCGACAGTGCAACCAGTGCAGGCTCGGCACTTCTAGCGTCCATATCGGATCGGCAGATCAACGCAGGTGCATCAAGTTTGGTTTGGCCGCTGGACTGTAAGGAGTTAGGGGCATGCATTGGAAGCCCCAGCGCTAAGTAGCAGTTCGTCATACATCGCTCGGGGGGATGGCCGGGCAAGTTCAGGCGTAGGTGGGGGGGGCTGCACGGATGCACATTACTGGGGTTGCATCCACCAACACACTGAGGGAGCACTCCCGTGCTCAAGGTTGGCTCTGGCTGGTGCCGGCACTCAGGTGTGGGTTGTTTCTTTCCTTCCACGGTTACAGCCACTGGATCGGTCAGACCTCCCGGCCTGGTGAGCCTGCGCATGCAAGGAGCTTGCATCTGAGGCACGTGAGCTTGGCAGTCAAGCAGGTACACATTCCAATCACAAAATCCTCACGCAGGTTATGGACCACTGGGTACATCTTGGGGCTTAACCGACTGTTGAAGGAGAATCGAACTCAGGGTATACGTATGGCCCAAATCATTCACGCTGCTCTGCCGGCAACCCCAGCCAGAGGGTCGGAGCACCGGGGCATCCCTTCGTTCAGGGCATGGACCATCCCAAAAATCATCGCGGAGTTGCAAAGCAGGGGGATTCCTTTCTCGGCTACTGCCAGGAAAGCCGAACTATTTAAATTATTATTTCCGCTGGTAGTGGCCAGCACTAGCGGGGACCAAGTGTCAGTACAGAGGCTTGCGACATCAGTGACGCAGATACATGCTTCTCTTAATACTATTTCCGTGTCGCTCCTCGAACTACAGAATAGGACGGAAGCATTGGAGAAGCAGGCATCTCCCACGGCCGTTTGGCCAAGCTGTGGTCACTATTCCTCAGGTCCTCACAGGGGCATCCAGTGCCCTCACGCCTCTTGTCCCAGGTACGGTCAGCTCCCTGCCAAATGTCACCCCCGCTCATTTTATCCCCGCTAATATGCGGAAAGACATTTTGGAGGGTAAGGATGTCAATTTGGCTTCTTTACTTATTGCAGTGCATGATGTGGCCGAGAACAAGTCCTATGCTTGTAGGGAGGTCTCAGTCATT